AGCCAAAATGAATTTTTTCTCTCAATAAACCAATCAATAGATATTTTCGCACAAACCAACATCCATATAAAAAGAATTGATTTTTACGGACAAAGAACTAGCGCTGTCACTTCCATGAAAAGAATTGATTTTTATTTCAAACCGCTAGGCAGCCACTGTCCCGGCGAATCATTGTTATCGATTTTTCTGCCTTTGGGGATGTTTGGATCCGGCTGTCACGTGAGGGTATGTATGTAGTGTTCCTTCAATACTCTACGAGACGGATTTATTAAACCTAATTAATCCGTTATCAGCACATGGTTACTGTAGCACTGTCAAATCATGGATTAATTATGCTTAAAATATTCGTCCACATTATCAAATTATGAATTAATTAGATTTAAAATATTCGTCTCAAAAATTAGTCGCAAAACTATACAATTAATTTCGTAATTAATATATATTTAATACTTTATATATGTGTTTAAATATCTAACGAGAGAGCGACTAAAGTTTAGAAGGAGCACCGAAGCACCCCCTCACTCTGTAAGTTGACACTTCGATTTGCACCGATCGTGCTTGCGCTACACGCCAGATCCATCCTCGCGCGCTGACGACCGTTGCTCTGTTACCACACAATAAACAACAGTTCAATGCGTGGCACCTGGAGTATCTCCGCAAAAGCTCTTGGATGTACAGTAGCGTTTGTAACTTTGCCACCGAGAGGATTATTATGCCTTTAAATAAGCTAAGTACAGTAGGATTTAGCCGAGTACTAGCAGAAGTGGCACATGCAGCGCACGGACGGCACCTCTCGGGCGGGCTCGGCGCGGCCGTCACAGATTCTTCTAGGTGCGGCTGCACGTCGGGGGCGTCCCCGAAAAGTGCAAACCCCCTCTTGCAAGCCCCTGGCGAGTCTGCGCAGGCAAGATCAGACCATCAGTAGTAGTATTTGAAACACGCCGTACGACTAGTTGATGCTCACATGTTTTCTCTCGTTCGTGGACTCGTGTGGTTCTGGGGCCGGCCTCAAGTCCCGAACCATATAAAAAACAAGCTGCTGATCATGGGGAGAGGCAGGTTTAAGAGAATTGGGATGCTCGCTCGATGGTCAGTCGCACATGCAACGCATGTTGCCGTGGTAGCCAACCTAGTACTCCTACTGTACGTACGTATCCCGTAGCTCTACTAGACGTACTAGTACGCAGCGAATTAAGCGGCACCGGGTGAAAGAGAGCTTCGGTACCGAGGCATGAGCAGGACTGCAGGAGGTAGCAGGGAGCGGACCACCGCCGCGCGTTCACGTGCCGGTCGACGCGATGCGCCTACCCTCCCCGGCGCATGGCAGACGGACGGGACGGGTGGCTGGGGGCTGGGGCTGCCAGTCACGCAACTGGCTCCCTGCGTGGACCACGGCACGTTCAGGCGTACAGCCTTCCGACTCCATACTGTGTGCGTCCGTCCGTGTGTAGGGTGGTGCGACCTGCGTCCGTCTGCCGCGGTCCCGGCTGGCTGTTACCCCACCGGCGGTGAGGGTGTCAATCAAATCGATGTTTCCAAAATAATAAAACAGGTCTATGCATGCCTGGTTAATGGAGTTATCTTTTATATAGTACTGTATAGTGTCAAATACCGAACTGGCCTATTAGCTCAGTTGGTTAGAGCGTCGTGCTAATAACGCGAAGGTCGCAGGTTCGAGATCTGCATGGGCCATTTTTCACTTTTTTTTTTGGCTATATTACACTCTTTTTTTGGTTGGTTTTTTTAATTTTCTATATATTAGCTCACTTTTTTTGCTATATAACGCACTCGCAGGTTCGAGACCTGCATGGGCCATTTATTTTTTTATATATATATATGGCTATATTACACTCTTTTTTTGATTGGTTTTTTTAATTTTCTATATATATATATTCACTTTTTTTTGCTATATTACACTCTTTTTTTGGTTGGTTTTTTTATTTTTCTATATATATATTACACTCTTTTAGTCCATTCCTTTTTGGCTTGCTATATTACACTCTTACGGTTACTAGGGGCTCATGTTTGGTTTTAACGATAGCCTACCTCAACTAGATGACCAAAATCAACAGGCCCCCGATCTTTCCTCCTATGTTACAAATATATGTTTCAGATGTTTTAGATGTATGTTGTAATTGTTTTATATGGATGTTTCAAAAGTAGATCGGGATGTTGCACACGTTGTAAGCGTTTCGAGGTATGTCGCAAGTTTGTTCAAAATGTTTTTATCTGTTACAGACGTATGCTGCAAATATTTTATCTGGATGTTGCATATGCTATAGGCCCTATTCGCTTCTCTTATAATCCGTCTTTTTCAGCTGGAACAGTGTTTTTCTCTCACAACACATCAGGCGTAACAGTGTTTTTGCTTGTTTTTTTATGAAACGAACGGGCCATAATGGCTATGTTGCATATGTTATAATGACTATGTTGCAAGGCATTTTTCAAATGTTTCATCTGTTTCAGTTGTATATTGCAATTATTTTATCTGAGTGTTGCAAAAGTAGATCTCGATGTAGGATGGTCGAGCGAGGAAGAGAGAGCTAGCGCGGGAGCCATGACGGCGTCGGTTGTAAGCTAGCGGCAATGCTACACCGGAGGACACACAGGCGTACGTGGCCCTAGAGTGGGTCCTCATCGCGTTGCTCCTGATCAACGGCCTGCTTGCCTACGCCATCACTGTCGCGTGGGAGCCATCTTGCCGTGGTGACGCGGGTGGGCTCTTACGCGTGGCGGATGTGGGAAACGAGACGGGGCCCGACAAGTGCGTCGAACAGGGAGCTACGTTCGGACGCGGGCCTGGGGCCGGATGTTCGGACGCTAGCCTTACCATTTGTTTGTTTTTTTTGCTATATTACACTCTCTTTTTTGGGGTCGACCTGCATGGCATGGCCCTTTTTTCACTTTTTTATATAGGCACTTTTTTACTTTATTTTTTTCTATACACCCTCTTTTTTTTTGTCCACGAACGTGTTTTTTTTTTTTTTATTGCCTATTTTTTTAAATGTTTCCATCTCGTTCGATGAGCCCATTTTCTACTTTTTTTTTTTTCTACACACCTTCTTTTTTGTCCACCATCGTGTTTTTTTTATTGTGTGTTTTTTAATCGTTTTGTTTGGCTGATGTTTTCTGCGGTTGATAAGTCGGCTGATGTTGTTTTGTTGTGAGAGAAAAACACTGTTTTCATCTCGGTCGATGAGCCCAGTTGTGGCATCTGTTCTAAATAGAACTCGAAACGTTTGGGTTTAGTAGATTTTTCAGTTAATCTAACTGTATAGTCTTTTTCTTTAGAGAGAAAGCTCAAAGCTGTACAGTCTTTTTTTTTTTGTCCATCATCGTGTTTTTCTGAATGTTTCTTTCATCTAAATCGATAAGCCAAGTCGCGGCACCCCATGGAATGCTGTACACTCTTTTTATCCATCATCGTGTTTTCCTGAATGTTTTTTCATCTCAATCGATAAGCCATGTCGCGGCACCCTTTGAAAGAAGATCAGTATTTATTGTTGAGACTCAAAAAGATTTTGGATTTTGTTTTTTTTTTCGCTAACAAAATCTATCCGGCTATCCCCTTTTTGTACCAAGCTTTGATTTCCGACGTTTGACAAATCAATTGGCCTGTACAGTTGCCACCAAGCTTGGGAATAAGCTACAGCACACACATCTAAAAGCCACGACTCACAGTCAGCCCCTGTTTGGAAATGAAAGATTTTTTCCATCCACTTTGATGTGTTTTCTGTAAACTGAACTCTTTTTTATGAGATTTCTGCAGTTTAAACACAACCTGCTCTACTCCCCCTCACTTGAAAAGTGCATCCACTGGATCACGGACTGTACGGGCCTTGGACTAGGCTCTTAGACTCTATTGAGATGAAAGTTTGACGAATTGAACAATGCAGTATGATACTCCCTACTTTTTAATTGTAAGTTGTTTTAGTTTTAAGTCAAACTTATTTAATTTTAATCAAGCTCATAGAAAATATAGTAGCATCTACAATATCAAATAAATATGCTATCAAAATATATTTCACGGTGTCTTTAATTCATATTCTTCGGCATTGTAGTTGTTTGTGCGTTTTTTATAAACTTTAACCATAACATAGTATCAAAATATATTTTATAGTGTGTCTAATGAAACTTGCCTGATGTTGTAGATATTGTGCAATTTTTTTTTGTATAATTTTGGCCAAAGTTAGATAAGTTTGACCGAGAATAAAACTAAACGGTTTATAATTTGAAACGATCGAGTACATACTTTATATTGGCTATTAGGATACAAGAGTGACTCTACTAATAATATATGAATCTAGAAAAACGTTGGTCTCGAGTCCTAACTCTGTTCAGCAACATTTTTCCACAGCACAGACTTGAGGGCATGAATCCAGAATGCGACCATTTGCCTTCTGTAGAAGGGATGTAGAACATCTGCTGGCTGCGCCAGCAAACACTATGTTAATGAGTCGTGGATTGGAGATTCCTGGTAGCAACGCAGGCACAATTCGGTGACTCCATCTGAACTTGGGACACTGTTCCAGGCCTGGTTCGCCTCAGATTCACCATGGCAGATGAGTGGCAACTACCAAGTACATGGTCCATCTTTCAGCTAGGACCATACGATGCCGTCTCATCATTAACTAAAAGGAGAATGCAGAGTCTAATGACCCGGTCATTATAAGTTCCTGAGATTCTGCAGGTGCTAAAAATTTGTCTTCTGAAGTACACACTTTTCAACATTCTTTACTGTATGGCGGAACTTAAAAATGTAAAGAAATTTAAACTTCACCCACTACACAATCATAATACTATAGTAGACAAATAACTCTGATTTCCCCCAAGATTAAACAAATAACACCCATGGAGATTTTCTGAACTCCATTGTATGACAGTAAAGAATGCTGAAAAGTGAGTACCAGAAACTTGGAAATATCCAAATATTAGCAACTTGGGATCTGATAACAAATTTGAATTTCTGAGATGATAGCGTACATGGAAATATCCAAATATTAGCAACTTGGAAATATCCAAGACACCACATCCCTCTCATGCATTTCCACAAAAAACTTCCTTGCATCTTCAGCGCTTCTAAAAGTTCCGTATAGATTAACAAGACCTGACATAACGAACAGATCTGATGCACACCCAATCTTCCGAACCATGGCATGGACTGCGTCTCCAGTAGCTCGCCACTGCCAGTTGACAAAAGAGGTGCTCGCAGACACAGCTGCGGCCATGGTGTAACTGTCAGGGGAGACCCCTCTCGAAAGCATGGCCCTGAACGTCGCCAGCGCGTCTGAAGCCGCGCCGTGGTTGGTGTACCCTCTTATCATGCAGTTCCAGACGGCCGCGTTAGGTTGGGATATTCCGTCGAACACCCTGCGAGCGTAACGCATGTCGTGGCCCAGCGCGGGTGACGCGAGGAGCGCGACGAGCCGGCCCGCCACGGCGGAGTCGGGAGCGAGGTAGGCGCGAACGAGGCGGGCGTGGAGCTCCGCCACGTGGGCCCTCGAGGAGCAGGCGTCGAGGTGAGTGAGGAGGGGGTGGCGCTGGGGGCGGGCATGGCGTGCGTTGGGGCGGAAGTAGAGGTAACGCATGGCCGCATGCCCGGGCTGGATATCGAGGGCTGGATATCGAGCCAGTGCTCGGCGGCTCGGCTCGTTATTACGACGTAGAGGAACAGGCTCGGCTCGTTAATATTACGAACTCGAGAGTAGCTCGGCTTGGCTCATTATAGTGCTCGAGCTGACTCGTTTAGCTTATGAGCTACTATAAAAAAAATGACATATATATTTATAATGTTTATGTTACATTAATTTAAGGAGGTAACGTCCACTATTATGCAATCATACATGATTAATATATATCAGGTTAATCAAAAGTATCAATCATGTAACATAGCTGATCCATCCATAATCATACAGTTCCAGCATACTAACTAGTTGCTTACCATCACAAACTTAGAAAAGTCCATATATTCAATGTCAGCATCATCATCTTCTCCCTAGAAAACAATCCATCAAATCAACATTTAAGTACTACAATAATTATAAAATTAAAATTCATATAAAACAGCTAAAAATAAGGATTACATACCAATAAAATAGGTGTACACTTTTAGGTCAGCATTATCATCTTCTGGATTCATGGTCATGGTCGTGGGTTGATAGCCCTAGCTCGTTTTCAGCTCGTAAGCAGTTTGCGAGCTGACTCGTTAAAATAGCGAGCTAGACTTCCAGCTCAATTCGTGAAAAAGTTAAACGAGCCGAGTCGAGCCGAGTTGAGCCGAGTTGAGCCGACCACAAGTCGAGTGAGTTGGCGAGCCACGAGTATTTTGTCCAGCCTTACCCACATCGAGCGTTCGGTTCTCGGGACGGCGGGAATCAACGACATGGTTTGTGCGTTTTGCGGTTGTGATTTGGAGGCAACATGCAAATATAAGGCCTTGTTTAGTTTTCAAAAATTTCACCCCAAAGTGTCATATCGAATCTTACGACATATGCATGGAGTACTAAATGTAGATGAAAAAAAACTAATTGCATAGTTGGGTGAAAAATCGCGAGACGAAACTTTCGAACCTAATTAGTCCATAATTAGACACTAATTGTCAAATACAAACGAAAGTGCTATAGTAGCCAAAACCAAAAAATTTCGCCAACTAAACACGCCCTAAGAGCAACTCCAAGTAGAACTTTTTGGTGGAAAAAATATCCTCAACAACTTTAATTTGCTATCAAATGTAGTCATTCTCTATTACTGATTTCTCGCTAACCAAAGATTGAGAGTAAAAATGGCTCTCTAGAATGTGTATAAGATATAGAAAAACCGTTAAAGAATGAAAATATATAGAAAACGACATCTCCAAACGATGATTTAAAGAATAAATTTTAAAAAACTCTCAAAGATGTCGTGTTTTATTTAATTGACTGTTTATCTTGTTTTGTCCAAATTTATACCTAATAATAAAGAGATAAAATTTTTGCCACAAAATCTTAAGTCCAACTAAGACATCAACTTAGGTTACTGTTTACATATTTTTGCCCTAAAAAAATTCCGCTAACCACCCGTCCAGGTGTGTTTTGGTGTCCGTTAACCACACGTTCAACCAACCATAGAAACGGTGTCACCCACGAAAACATTTTTCTTTTACGTTTTTATGGTCGGTTCGTCCTTTTTCTCTTTTATTTCTCCTGTTTTTTTTATACAAACATAAAAAAATAATAAATCTAATATTATAGCTCTTTAAAATCTAAACTTTTATATAAATAAAAAGAAAATAATAAATATAATAGTATTGCTCTTTGAACTCTAGATTCTTTCCTATATAAATAAATACTCCCATCACTAGATTGTGGATGTAGATTTGATTAGGAATAAAATTTATTCTTATTGTCAGAACCTGGTCCGTGGATGAACCAACTAACAATTATACTGTGAATTAAAATGTTGAGTAGTTTATTATCATTCTAATCTAAATAAATATATCTTCAAGTTATGCATATATATCAGCGTAATCGGACAAGGGCTACCATATGAAAATCGAGAGAGATATCCATTATAATAATGAAACGGACATACCAATTCTTGACAGATACCAATTAAGTCCCACCGACTATAATCATATATTAAAATATGGTAAAGTTCAATTTACACCCTTCAACTTTCACCAAAATTCGGATTTCAACCTCGAACTTTAAAACCGGATAACTTTGGTCCTCCAACTCTTGAAACCGTTCAACTTTCAACCTTCTGGGCGGTTTTACGGGTGAACAGTAACTTTTGATATTTTTGGAGGCATCGAAATTTTATATTATTTTTTCGAGCATCTTAACGTCCTCAAATGAAAAAACTCAAAACTACAAAGTTGTAGATCTCATTGAGGTCTACGATTTACATATAAAAATTATCTTCATCCGACATCGTATTGAAGGGTTTTCTATTTTTAAAATTTGAGTCTTATCACGCGACAAAATATGATGCTGAAATTTTATATTATTTTTTCGAGCATCTTACTGTCCTCAAATGAAAAAACTCAAAACTACAAAGTTGTAGATCTCATCGAGGTTCTATAATTTACATATAAAAATTATCTTTATCCGACATTGTATTGAAGGGTTTTTAATTTTTTGAAATTTGAATCTCATTACACGACAAATTATTTTTACAGGTCCCAGCGAAAGTCAAGAAACTTAATATTTAACACCATCAATACGTGGGTATTATAAAAATTAAAGTTACGATACATTTATAAGTTAATGTTTCTATACCATATAATATAAGAAAATTGTCAAAATTATATTTTAATTCGATACAACCTTAATAGGATATTATCGTATTAATACCCTCGATATTAAATTATAGAGTTAAATGTATTAAAGGTCCATTAACTTGTGGCCGTTTTTGGTTAGGTCCATCAACTTTGAAAGTTGATTTTTAGGTTCATAAATTTTTTGTTGTTGTATTATTTAGGTCCATACCTCTCCACGTTGACATCTTATGCTGACGTGGCGTGATGACTAGGCTCTCTTTTCGGGGCGTGACCGCGGTGTCCGTGTCCGTCTCCGCATCCGCAAGGGCAGCGGCAGGCGTGCGGCGAGCGACCAAGAAATGCGACACCATGCGGTCTGCCGTAGATGATGGCGCGTGGCGCCCTTGGTATACACGGGGTTGACGGCCTTGCCGCCGCCGCCCGCGGACACGTACAGCGTGCTCTCGAACGCCTTCGCGCGCCGGCGCCACAGATGGCCCAGCCGCCCAGGCACTGCATCACTATGTAGTACTGTAGTAGACGAACACAGCTGCGTTGTAGCAGATGAGCGCGAAGATCATGCCACCGGCCGAACGCCCATGCGATGCCCTGCTGGATGCCCACGGTGCTCACTTGGAGGGGGACTTGCTGATGCCCATCACCATGAGCACGGAGCCACGTACGGACACGTAGAGGAAGATGAACGTGGTTACGAACTCGGCAATGCCGGACCAGTAGAAGGACCACGGTGCCGCATTTGGAGGGGCTCGCTGTATTCGCGGCCCAAGTCGTCCACCGCCGTGCCGATGGGATGCCACTCTGGGAAACGGTCCACGCGCCACGCGCACGTCTTCGTCCAGCAGCTTGCCGCCTGACATGACTAGCTTGTGCTGAACTACAATCTCGATCGATCGATGGTGTAGACCGTAGACGTGGCAAATGTCAAGTGCGAGCTGCTAGCTAGGTAGCTAGAGCCAGAGTTAGTAATGAATAGCCATGAGACTCGTACAGTGCGCTCTCGAATGTCTTGACGACGCTGGTGCTGCTGCTGCATATGGCGCTCTCGAATGTCTTGACGACGCCGTGACCGGGCTCAACCGACACTGGTGGCTACAACAAACAGATCGATGAGGAAGCCGGCGCCTGGTGCAACGTGCCCGACGAGAGTGCCCATGGCATGCCGTCGTGCTGTGGCTTTTGCGTGCACCTCCTAGCCCGCCACGACGCCGTGCTCAACTTCACCTCCGTGGAGATGCGGGACCACGAGCAGCCGCAGGAGGCGCAGTGCATGCCGGAGGCGCTGGTCTGGCAGGTGGGCACCGCAGGCGGCCGACGCCGCCGCGGCCGCGGCAGCGGACTCGGCCTCCGGCATACACTGCGCCGACGTCGATGTGGAGGAAGAATACGGCCGCGAGGCAGCTGATGAGCACATGGGCCATGGCAGCTAGCGACGATGACGGAGGTGAAGGAGACGGTTGTGGATGCAATGGCGCTGGTCACGCCTACAAACTGTTTGACGAAATGCATTGTTATAGAGCTACTTTCTGGTCATCACGCCAAGTCAGCGCAAGAAGCCAACGTGGAGAGATATCAATCTAAGCAATACAACCTAAAAAGTCTATAAACTAAAAATCCACTTTCAAGGTTGAAATTGTATTTACAACATAAAAACGGGTGAACCACCTGATCGAGAGAAAAAAAACCATCATCGTATTTTTTAAAAGAAAGAGCATCAAGATCGCATCTTTGTGTTAAATTCTTGGAAACAGCTGCCGCGCAGTATTTTATAGGAGTAGAGCTCAGCCGTAGCGCAAGCGCGACCATCCACCACCGGTCAGAGACGTGCAGGGGAAATATCCCCAAGGAAAGGAAGTCGTTGCAACGACCATGGCGTCCGCCGCCGCAGACCCGCTCCTCCACGGCGAGGGCACCGGCGGCCGGTGCCTCGGGTTCCTGCCCTCAAGCATCCGCCTCAACACATCCGTCTGGTCCGAGCTGGGCGGCGCGGTGGGCGACCTGGGCACCTACATCCCGATCGTGCTCGCGCTGTCTCTGGCGTCCCACCTGGACCTCGGCACGACGCGGCGCTCTACAACTTCGCCACGGGCCTGCTCTTCGGCATCCCGATGCCGGTGCAGCCCATGAAGTCGATCGCCGCCGTCGCGCTCTCCTCCGCGCACCTCACCGTCCCGCAGATCATGGCCGCGGGGCTCGCGGTCGCCGCCGTCCTGCTCGTCCTCGGCGCCACGGGCCTCATGACGTGCATCTACCGCCTCCTCCCGCTCCCCGTCGTGCGCGGCGTCCAGCTCTCGCAGGGGCTCTCCTTCACCTTCACCGCCGTCAAGTACGTCCGCTACGTCCAGGACTTCTCGCGCTCCTCCTCCGCCTCCACCTCCGCGGCGCGCCCGCTCCTCGGCCTCGACGGTCTGGTCCTCGCGCTCGCCGCGCTGCTCTTCATCATCCTCGCCACCGGCTCCGGCGACGACGAGGACGTCGTCGCCAGCGACGACGGCACGGTCATCCGTCGCCGCCGCCGCTCCTGCAGCCGCGTCCCGGCGGCGCTCATCGTGTTCGCGCTCGGGCTCGTGCTCTGCTTCGTACGTGACCCGTCTATTCTGCGAGGCCTTCGCTTCGGCCCGGCGCCTCTGCGGCTCGTCAGGATCACCTGGGACGATTTCAAGATCGGGTTCTGGGAAGGTGCCGTGCCGCAGCTCCCGCTGTCCGTGTTCAACTCGGTCATCGCGGTGTGCAAGCTCTCGTCGGATCTGTTCCCCGATCGCGCCGAGCTCTCCCCGGCGCGGGTGTCGGTGAGCGTCGGCCTCATGAACTTCGTCGGCTGCTGGTTCGGCGCCATGCCGTGCTGCCACGGCGCTGGCGGGCTGGCGGGGCAGTACCGGTTCGGCGGCCGGAGCGGCGCGTCCGTGGTGTTCCTGGCCATCGGTAAGCTGGCGCTCGGGCTCGTGTTCGGGAACTCGTTCGTAACGATCCTCGGGCAGTTCCCAATCGGGATACTGGGCGTCATGCTGCTCTTCTCCGGGATCGAGCTCGCCATGGCGTCGCGCGACATGGGTACCAAGGAGGAGTCCTTCGTCATGCTTATCTGCGCCGGCGTCTCGCTCACGGGCTCCAGCGCCGCGCTGGGGTTCATCTCCGGGATTGTTTTGTACCTGCTGCTGCGCGTCAGGGACGTGGACTACCGAGCACTATTCGGCCGTTGGGGCTCTGGCCGGCGGCAAACTTAAATCACTCACAGGCAATATTTATATATATATATACAAAACATATATTATCTTAGAGATGAAAAGAATATACTATAAGAGCATCTCCGATAGTCTTTTAAAAATCTATTCTCTAAATCATTATTTAGATAGCCATTTGAGTAAAAATTGTTTCCATATCCACATATCTTTGTATACTCCAACGACTTTTCTATATGCTATTAGAGGGTTTTTCTCACCAAAATCTATATTTCTATAAATTATAAAAGATATAAAAAGTCTCTTGAGATGCTCTTAGGAGTATATATTGTGAAAATATCCGTACCTTCTCTCTTTACAAAAGGCCACAAAACCGTGAATGCGACAGGCAGACTATGGCGATAGCATGTCCACTGTGGTCATGGGCCATGGGCCACGGCCCTCGAAGTACTTGAGTGTCATCTCAATCTGCAATAAGGTCGCCATGCGATTTGAGGCTCGCCATGTGATGTTTTGAAGATTTCATTGTGCATCCCGAGCAGTTCGGTGTTGGCCATGGGCCATGGGCTGCGAACTTTCCAAGCATGTAGTATCAAGGAAATGGGCTTACCAAATGGCGTTTCAGTGCCAAGCGTTAACATGCCAGTTTCTTTAGCCACATTGGCGTTAACGTGAGCAGTGAAGGTTGAAGCGCGGGGGCGACATGGGATGGACGCAGATTCGGTGACTTTTTTCAGCAGTGAAGCCAGGCGGGAGCAGAATGTGCAGTACTGAACAAAAGTAGCAAGTGATTAAAAATAAGAATTCTCATATTTCAAGAAAAACAGTTTCAGCTTTGACTAAACTTATATGAAAATGTACTAAAGCCTTCTTTGACACGACTCATCCAAAACGGCTTCACCGGTGAAGCCAAAACCGGTGACGCCAGAAAAAGGCTTTTTTCGGCTTCTAGTTCATTTTAACCTCGGCTTATAAAACGGCTTCACGTTATAGTGCATCGATTTGCGTAAAATAGATGAAGCCGAAGCCAGCATAAGCCAAGCCAAAGATGCCCTAACACTCCAAATAAGTATCATTAAATTAGTTATAGAATATATTTTTATAATAAATTTATTTTAAGACATAAATGCTAATACTATTCAATGTAAACTTGGTCAAAGTTGAGCTAGTTTCACTGACACGTTTCCCATAATTATATTTTTTTCTGGACGGAGGGAGTATGTAGTAAGAACAAAGATCTATTTAAATGAGTCAGAGATAGTTATTAGTCATTTTTTCAGCAGTGAAGCTAGGCGAGACTTACTTTTTATATAAAAGTTATAGTTTTTTATGAGATCTACAACTTTATAGTTTTTTTTTTTTTTTAAATTTGATATCGCTAAGATGCACGAAAAATAGCATATAGTTTCAACCATATATTAATCAGCTAGAGCTTCCTACCTCACAAGAATCATATATTTCTTGTATGGTATCAAACAAAGATACTTTTTATAAAAAAAATTCTAGCTCTCAATGAGATCTACAATGTTTTAGTTTTACCTTTTTTCATTTGATATCGTTAAGACGCTCAAAAATATAATATAAATTTTCACTAGCATATTAATCGTGTACCGCATGGAAATCGTCGTCTAACGTGATAGATTTTACCGCGTCAACGTGTGTGGGCGGAAGCGTGATTTCTGTGGCACTAAACGTGTTGGTGTAGCCAAAAGAGTTAGAAATAAAAATAAAAATAAAATAAAAATAGATAGGGTTATTTTTAAAATAAGATTTTTAAAAGGATTAAAAATAACAAAAATAAAATAATTTTTATTATTTTTAATCCTTTTTTAAAAAAATCTTATTTAAAAATATCTCCACCTATTTTAATTTTTATTTCTAGCCCTTTTGGTCACGCCAGGCAGCGCAAAATTACACTGTCACACCATATGTGTTCGCATGGTAAGATCAGGCACGCTGCATGGTGACTTCCATGTGGTACGCGATTAGTATACTCCTTAAACTTATGAAACTCAAAACTGAAAGCCCGATAGCTCGACGCCAATGAGGCGACCACCTCCACCGGATGCATCTCGCCTCGCGTGCTTGATTTTTTTTTGCGTCCATTGCCCATCATGGGGTGGCCAAGATGATTAAGAGAGTGTTGAGACTGCTCCATAAATTCTGCTCGATAAACACTATAGTGCAACAGCTTTAAAAAAAACTTAAGTTTATAGAGCACTCCTTTGCTATGAGTGGGCCTACAAAGATGGGTATATTCATAGCCATCCAGGATTAGGCCCACAAAGATGGCCTATGGGATTTCCTACTAGCAATAGATTGCCTTGGCCGTCACATACGATCACATCTTCAACAGGAAAGCCAACAATTGCTCGCCCGTAGCCGTAGTAGATCAAACACCTCTACATCAGTTCAAGAGGATGGGGAATCGCTCCATGGTCATCACATCATCCTCACAGATGGTGCTAGGCCTTTGTATGTGTCTACCAACGCTGTCATTAAGTGAACCGGTTAATCACCATGATAAATGGTGCTAGACTATGGCAACAAGGCTCATGGGTCTAGGGACCGACATGGGGAACAAAGGAGCTGAAGAGCCACACACTTCCTTGTTCCTGCATGAGCTTTCGGTGGTGCGCCTAGGCCACAATGAGGATGCAAGATGGAGAAGGCCATGCTAGTGGTGTGCGGTTATCCCTCACGCAAGACCTCTCCTGTTTTTGTGTCACAAGACAAGACTCGCAACAAACTGAGATGGTGGATCTAGGGCCAGGAGCAGGCTTGGGCCTAGAGCCACTAGGGCCGTGACTCTAGTCGTGGCCCAGGAACCTTAAGATACCCCCCTGTCATTAATTTTGGCGCAGAAGAGGAAGCCCAAGTCCACCATTGGACCTGTCAACAACACCCATTTGCCACTTCGGCTTCCCTCAATCCCCTAAAAAAAACACTTCGGCTTCCCTCAAAAAAAAAAAAAAAAACCCCACTTTGGTTCAATCACGTTGCCCCCTGCTCTCCCGTAAGGAACCTGCTCTCGTATCAATGCTAGAGCTAGGCACGTCTAGAAGCCATATCTAGATCGATTGATTCTCTGTATAAAGGGCTTTCAAGTTGGCCACCACTTGGGCAAACAAAAACCAAGTTGTCATCATGTACATACACAATGCTACCTTTTGGAGGCAATCGATCAGTCAAACCGCATTGTTGTTACATTGAAGCACAATATTGTTACCGGGTCTGCTCATCATGTCCTTCCACTGAGAATGTATATCTCTGGCGATGTTGAGGGCGTCCGCCGAGGCGCCGAGCAGCCCCCTCTGCGAGAACCCGACGGTGTAGAGCCCGTTCTTCCCTTTCCAGCCGTCCGGGAAGGGGATTTTGGGCATCCCTTCTCTCGTGAACACGTCACCTCCATCCTGCAAAGTATGATTTTTTTAATTAATTCTGGGAAGGTAATTCTGGACCCAAAGTGAAGTGAAGTGTATATCCAAAGTCTCGAGTCCGTATACCCGTCGTCCTCACCCTCGTGAGCTAGGGACGCCGGCCGGCGCCAAGGCAGCCGACCGGGGCCTGCTCCTGTGCACGCGCCCATACCCCCGGGTGAGTCACTTGGCGCGAGGGACACTTCGGGAGAAAGGAACGCGCGGGGCACGAGCTGCCCCTGCGCGCTCGGCAGACACGAGAAGGGCAACCAACGGGGCAGGATGGCCGAACAGGGGTGACGGCATGCGCGCTGCAGCGCGTCCAGGCCAGGCCCCCAAACCTCCGCCGGACAACACAAGCGAGCCCTTTTCCGTCGGCGTCGGCGTCACTCACTTCCCAGTTCTTCCCCCCTCGTGTCGTTGCAGGCGGCAGTACTAGGAAGGAAGGTGAAGAGACGGAGGGGATTTTACCTTGAGCCAGGACGGCACGTTGCTCCTGTATCCCGTGGCCTGTATTATTGCGTCGAACTGCTCCTCCTTGCCGTCCGCGAACCTGACCCCGCGCTGGGTCACCTCCTTCACTGTTCCCACTACCTGGCGATCCATCCATCATGTGTTTCGCATCAGCCAGGACGAAGCATTTGCATTTTTTTTCAGGGTGGAAATAAAACTCAGAAATGTGTGCGTGAGTGAGCCTTAGCTCCGGACTGCCATTGCCAGATGAGGAGGCACTGGCCCACGGCGTCCCCGGCCCGGGGGCTCAAATTCCCACGGTGTTTGACTGGTCATCATCATGTGTAATTTCTACAACTGCGCTGCCTGCGCTGCTGCTTGCTCTCCTCTTTGGTGAAAGCACGTTGGCTGGCACTACTAACCTTAATTTTGCCGGTTTTGATGTGGCCTAGCGTCCCGACGTCCAGCACTGGGGTTCTGCCCGTGAGGTTCTTCAGCTCGATGGGGCCCGTCTTGGGACGCCTCAGCCCGAGCTTGCCTGTGTCGCCCAGCGCCAGCCGCGCCGCCGCCAGGAGGATCCGGTCCACCACCTGGACGGGGAGCAGCTTCAGCAGCGCCATGGCGATGCCGAACGTCGAGAGACCCAGCATCTCCCTCGGTAGCACATGAACCTGCAATGCGCGAGCACAAGTATCCATCGTCATAGAAGTACTCCATGGAAGAGAAAACAGAGCAGGCAGCTAGTACATGTTATATTCGCAAAAAAAAACATCGTACATGTTAGTAGGTCTAATTATGCTTAGCGTGGCCAAATATGACCATGCACAATGAAGCAGCATGCCCCAGAACCAAGCGCGACGCGCACAATAAAACCAACAATCATCCTAGGGGAAAGAAAGTGCTCGAGCAAGCAGGATGGCACAAAAGTCGCAGCAGCACTTGTACTTTGGCTGTCCAAAGCAAGGCAACGGAGAGTAGAAAAGGACGGGTCCCTAGCAATGAGTGGCAATAAGTCCGCCGCTCTAGTAGGAGCAAGCACGGCAAAAAGTGTGGATCATTAGTTACTTACCGTGTTTCGCACCACCAGCGAGGGCGTGGCGCCATGCCGGCACAAATCCAGGCTGACCTCCATGCCGGAGTTGCCGCACCCGACCACCAGCACCTTCTTCCCGG